CTCTCTCTCTCTCTCTCTCTCTCTCTCTCTCTCTCTCTCTCCACCCCCCCGACTCATTTGTGTGAGTATACAATGTGTATACAATGTGTGTGTGTGTGTGTGTGTGCATGTGTAGGCCAGAGGCCGATGTCTGGTGTCTTCATCGTTCTACACTGTGGGCAGCTGAGGAAGCCCTGAGTGTGAGGTCCTGAGTAAACGGGTGTTGTTGAGATGGGTACAGCCCTATCCAGAGGATCCAGGGAAACATTGGCAAAGTCTTCCCTCTTGTCCTGAGATATTGACAGTGTGTGCAAAAAGAAAAAAGAAAGAAAGAAGGAAAGAAAGAGAGAGAGAGAGAGAGAGAGAGAGAGAGAGAGAGAGAGAGAAAAGTCCGTAGTTGCTTTCTATGTCACAGAAGTTTACGGCCTGAAGACTGCTTCTCTCTGGAGACTGCTCCCATCTAGACCAGCTAAACGTGTCCACTTGACCCACACCTGTAACCTGTAAACCTGCCCCTTTGTGACCTGCATGTAACAAGCCGCCTCCTTTTTCAGCTGTGTTCCCGCCTCTGTGTTCAACTCTAAATAAACTGAGCTTCCTGGAGACCAAGGTTTCTCTAGCCAAGTCTGGGTCTCCCAATCCCCGTTTTCTGTTTGCGTGTGTGTCTGTCTTTTCTTCACTCCCTCACCGCCCCCGTGAGGTCCATCCCCGGGACACAGTGGCACACCTTATCTTTTGAGGTAGGGTCTCTCACTGAACCTGGAGCTCACTGATTTGGATGACCAGCAAGCCCCAGGGACCTTCCTGTTCTCACCTTCCCACTTCTGGGGTTGCAGTTACACATGATCTGTGCCTTGCTTTAGTGCAAGCGCTAGGATCGAACTCAGGTCCTCGTGCTTGTACAGCGAACACCTTTATCAGTTTGGTCATCTTTGGAGCTCCAAAAATTTCTTTATTCTAAAAATATTTCTGGGTATTTTTTGACATTGCTGTTTTTTGCTATTATAATCATGGACTTTTTTTTTCATAGAAAGAAGTGGAAGGGACAGCTATCTGTGACCCCTGAGGACCCTGCTTGAACATTTTTGGAATTCTCCCAGGGGAGCACTGCCACTCAGCAGGCATCTTCCGTAGGCTGCTGAAGGTCAGGGGGAAGGAAGGCTGGTGGGTGTCGATGTAAAAATCTGAATGTGGACGGGACGGCGGCGACGTGACAAGTCAGAGCCCAAAGTTTGCCTGGCATCCTAAGGTGCAGCTCAACTGCGCCTCAACAGATAGAAGAAAAATCACCCTGTGGAGGAGGAGAGGTGAGCTGCACGGAGGAAGAGTTTGGGTTCTGGAAGTTAAACAGCTGTGCTTGAGGCTTCCTCCCACTCAGGGGATTTTGCATCTCCAGAGTTATTTGAGTTGAGCAAAATGAGGAAGAAATGGGGAGACAAAAGCCCGAAGAACACAGAGAGGTCAGCAGGATATCACCAGGGCCAGGGGAAGCTCTTCACATTTATTGTGCTGGCTGGCGAAGGCAAATGCCTTTATATATCAGAATTATCTTATTCCCCGCTCAGTAGTGGGGATTGAACCCAGGGCCTCCTTCAGAGTTTAGGGTTTCTCTGTATAACAGGTCTGGCTGTCCTGGAACTGGCTCGGTAGACCAGCTGGTCTCGAACTCAGAGAGATTCGCCTGCCTCTGCCTCCTGAGTGCTGGGATTAAAAGTGTGCGCCACCACCGTCAGGCTC